GCGGAGGGGTGATGGGGAGGGGTGGGAGGGAGAGGAGAGGGGAGAAGAGGGAGATGGGGACGTGAGGCGGAGGGGGATGGGAGGGAGGGGGATGGGGAGAGGGAGAGGGATGGGGATGGGGGAGAGGGGAGACGTGAGGCGGTGGTGATGGGGACGGAGGGGAGGAGGGGGGATGGGAGGGGGAGGGGGGGGACTGGGGGAGAGGGGGGAGGGGGAGGGGAAGGGGGAGACGTGAGGCGAGGGGGAGGCGTCCTAAGGGAGGCGACGAATGAGGTCCCGGGGGCGGTGGCTCTGCGGGGCATCCGATAGGGGAGGGAGGGAAGGGGGAAGGGGGAGTGGATATGAGGAGGAAAAAGAGGAAGAGAAGGAGGAGGACGAGGGAAAAAGGGGAGAGGAAAGGAAAAGAAAAGATAATATACATGGAAAGTGAAGTTATAAAGTGAGGAGAAGTGCGAACAGGAAGAGAGAACAGTAGAGAAGCTAGAGAGCAGAGGAAGGGAGGGGAGGGGCAGGGAAGAGGACGGAACAGAAGGGGGAAGAGAGAGAAGAGAGAAGAGGGGATGGAAGAGTAGGAGCTAAGAGGGGAAGGAAAAGAGAAGAGGTGAGAGGAGAAGGAATTAAAGAGGAGAAGGAAGGTAGAAGGATAGTAGAGGAGGAGGGGGGGAGAAGAGGGGAAGGTGGAGGATGGGCAGAAGCAGAGGGGAGGGGAGGAAGCAGAGGGGGATAGGGAGAGGAGGGGGAAGAAGAGGGGAGGGGAGGGACCAGAAGGGGCAGGGGAGGAGGGGAAGAAGAAAGGGAGGAAGAAGAAAGGAGAGGAGAGGAGAAGGAGAGGGCAGGGAAGAGGGGGAGGCGAAGAGGGGAGGAAGCAGGAGGAGCAGAGGAGGGCAGGGGAGGGAGCATAAAAGGGGAGGGGAGGCGAGAGGATGGAGGTGATGTTGACGACGAACCCTTCTGAGAAACATCTCCACCTGCCATCGCGTTTTTCAGAATGCTTCGTCCTGAGACCCGCTTTGCTATGGAAAATAATGATCTTACCTCCTGACTTATCAGCGCACACACACGCATGCATAAACACATGCCCCACCACCCCCACATACACAACACACACACACACACACACACACACACACACACACACACACACACACACACACACACACACACACACACATCACCACCACCACCACCACCACCACCTTCCTGTCTCCTTCCTCCCTCGTCCCTTCCACCCCATTCTCCCCCCCCCCCCACTCTCAGTGGGCCTTTATCCGGGGAGGCGCAGCGTGCGGCCGCCTCCTACGGCAAACACGGCCACGATCAGCCAGCGACACAGGTGCGCCTGCTGAAGGAGGGAGGGAGGGGAGGGAGGGAGGGAGGGGAGGAGGAGGGGAGGGGAGAGGGGAGGAGGGGAGGGGAGGGGAATGGAGGAGGAGCAGGATGAAAGGGGAGGGAGAGGAGAGGAGGAGAGGGAGGGGGAAGGGGGAATTGGAGGAGGGAGGAGAGGGAAAGGGAATGAGGAGGAGCAGGATGAAAGGGGGGAGGGGAGGATAGATGATGATGAAAGGGGGAGAGAGGGGAGGAGAGCAGGATGAAAGGAGGGAGAGGAGGAGGAGGAGGAGGAAGAAGAATAGAAGGAGGATTAGCATTAGGATGAAGATTAAGGAGGGGAGAGGCCCCAAGATGAAAGAAAAGGAATATAATAATAATAATAATAAATATAAGTAGAAGAAGAAGAAGAACGAGAAGGAGAAAGGAGGGGAGGAGCAGAGAAGGTGGAATGGGAGGATCTAGGAGGAGGAAAG